TCTCTCTCTCTCTCTCTCTCTCTCTCTCTCTCTCTCTCTCTCTCTCTCTCTCTATAGAGAGAATGTTCAGGACATAGAGATGCTGAGATCTGCAGTAAAACTGGAGGCTGAAGAACTAGAAATGCAGTTGAATGAGCTAGCCCATCAGTATGATGAAATGTAAAAATGGTAAATCAATTTTATTCTGTTTTTATTCACATTTTTCACAAAGTCCCAACTCCATTGGAACTGGGAGTTGTAAATTAAAAAATTGGGTTAAAATATAATACCAAGTAACAGGTTTTTGACTTCATTTTTAAATTATTTCCACACCTATACTGTTGCTCCATTTGTAAAACTATTGAAAAAATATCTCTCTTTTTAAATTCATACAGGCCAGAGGAGCTGCATTTTATCAGCATGCATCGCAAAATCTGCTGAAGAGCAGTGAGTTCCCCAACAGCCGTTTGGTTTTTCCAGCTGAAACACAAATCACTCGCAGGATCCAGATAATCATTTGTCTCACATGAACTGAGCAGCAGAGTAATGACATAGAGAACTTAAAATGAATTAAAATTATAACAATTATTATTATTATTTGTATTAATCGATAACTCGGACTAAAATAACAGCAGCTAGTTCTCCACTTCAGCCTGTTGTTTTAGGACAGTGAAAATGTATTAATAAACAGGACTGGATTCATTTATTCTAACAAATTCCTCCTGTAACCAGGTGTCTGTATATAAATCAATATGATGAAATCAAATTGAAATATTACATTCAATAGTCCACATTTATTTGTTTAAAATTTTTTGTTCTGGTAAAGTAACTGTTTATTTTTATACAAATTTGAAGGTTTATTTTTAAGAGTATTTTCTGTTTATTTAATTTGGACTGTGAGAGAGCTGACACAGTTTTAAAGGGGGTTGAGTGTGTAACAGAGGAGAGGATTACAACTGTTTCCTGGACTGGGTCTTGGGTTGTCAGTAGTTTGGACGACAAACAAAATCATTCAGTCGTAAAAAGAAGAATGGCTTTATTTATAGAGGGATATATGCCATCTCTCCCCATTAGACCAGGTTTTCCCCATAATGTGTTACAGTTAGCCCACATTGTTTTCAGGACACCACCTGGACAACCAGTGGTTGGACACCTGTCACTGACAAGACCAGCAATGACCAATACTCTCTCCTTTGGTTACAGCCTTTGTTCCTAAATGTGCGTTATTACAAATAAACTGACTTCAAAAATAAATCAGCTGATCTACATTTCATTATTATGTTCTGAGTGTTTCATTAAAATCCATTCAATATCAACAAACAGAGGAGGTTTGGTGAGTGGTCAGAAAATAGATGCATGGCAGATCTTACAGTCTGTTATGAGACACAGCAGGAATTATGTCATCAAGTTCACCAGAGAGAACGCTACTTTCTGCCCTTTGGTGCAAACAGATCAGTACCTTCTGTTTGACTCTCTCACTGGAAAACAAGCTCTCCATCATTTGAACCATGTCCCCACAAAGACAGAAGGGAAGAAAAAGGAACAGAAAAAAGATGTTAGTGGTACTGATTTTTTGTTAAGTTGAGATTTGAAAAATTTTCAAACTACCTGTGAAATTATCAGACTTTCCTCAACAGGTTCTTCAACCCTGGAAGCTGATTTTCAAACATACAGCGGGTAAAATAAGTATTGAACACGTCAACGTTTTTCTCAGTAAATATATTACTAGAGGTGCTAATGACATGAAATTTTCACCAGATGTCGGTAACAACCCAAGTGATCCATACATACAAAGAAATCAAACCATAAATGTCCAGAAATGAAGGTATTTGTAATAATGTGGAATGGCACAGGGAAAAAGGATTGAACACAATTTTACTGAAATTTATCTAATACTTTATACAAAAGCTTTTGT